TTAAAAAATAAAATTTTTCTTGGTGAATCGACCATATTTCTTTATTTTATGTGGCCTTTCTTCACGTCTACTGTGCAGATCCCACCATTTCTCACATTCGATTCGATTCCTCGCGTCCATAATCCACTCCCAGGTCTTTCAACTTTTACGTGTGGCTTTCACTGCTGCTTGAGGATTTCCATCTAGTGTTGAATGCCGTCGAATGCTGGTCGAGTCGACTCTTCTGAACTGAGAGAGTTGGGCTGGAGCGTTCCCAATTGGATTGCAGAGAGCAATTTTTTCTGGACAACTCAGGTACCAATTTCTCGACTTCGGAGGGATGAGAGGCTTGTTTAGATGACCGGCATCACTATCGCTGTGAAATCCGTCCCTGTGAATCGATCATTGGGAACTCACGAAATCGTCAGAAATTGTAGCGCATATATTGCGTTCAACAGAAAAGCGTACAATGCTGCAAGGCACAGAGAAACCAGTCAACATCGAACGTAGGGCAAGTTAAACGATTGGGATAAGAAACTCTACCTCTCCTAGCGTATTCATTGTACCTCACCCTAACAGAATCAGTTTTCGACTACCGCGCAAGCTATTTCCATAGAATAATCTTCAGTAACCAAACCACTATTGAAAATGTCCTTTAAAAATTCATCGCTTCTAGAATGCCGGCATTCTAAGCTACCGGATGGAAAAATTGTCTTCTATCCAAAGCTGTATTATAAAAAAGTTATAATGCTTAATCTCTGATTGATCTCTGGAGCAAATATCGGCATTGAACCCAGTTAAGCTGAAGCTGTAGGATAAATCACAATTTACCCACTTTTATTTACTGCCTATTCTCATTTTTTTTAAAATGAAAAGCATGTTGTCTGATCTGTCACACCCATCTCAAACGCCAGCTCTCCATGTGTTTTATTAACGCCTTTGGAACCAATTGTTTAAACGCTATCCGGAGTCTTAACCCTTTTATTTACTGCCTTTTTCTTTTTAATGGCAGGGTATGCTGCGAAATATAACTCGTTATATAATGCCGAGATATTTGCAAAACTCCGGACCGCAGGTGTATGCGGTAGGGAGCGAACGCGCTCTATTGTACTTACCGGGGAGTAGCGCACTTCACCACCACACCATCCGCGTCCTTTGCTTTCCCTGTCTCTCAGCTAGTTCTATTGATTTTTTGCGATCAGCAATCACCCGTCAACGGGATTGATCTGGGGAGCCCAAATCGGCATTGAACCCAGTTAAGCTGAGGCTTAGTTATAATCACAATCTTAACATATTATATATATTATTCGTTCCCCACCGCATACACCTGCGGTCCGGAGTTTTGCAAATATCTCAGCATTATATACGAGCTATCCGGAGTATTTTCAAATCGGATCATGTGCAGGGATAAAGTCCTCCCACATCCTTACGCTTTGGAGACGCGACTCTTGAACAGCGGAACATGTGTATCAGTATCCAAATTTTATGTGCTGTAAAAAAGAACACGCAAATAAGAACAAATTAACAAAGATAGCAGTGGTTTCCATCCCGTAGTAGTGTTTCACGAGATTGGCACATAACGTCGAAGGTTGGTTTTCCTATAACTGACGATGATTTCTCAATTACTAGCGTACTTAATGAGTTGATATCTCTAACATCTACAAAAGACACTTTGATCTGCAAGCTTAATCGCATATGTAGTTTTCCACAGTGTTCTTTCAATTACATATATGTTAGCATTAAAACCTTAAAGAAACCGAAATTTAAGTTCCTCAAGTTTCCAGCGCAAAAACGTCAGACACAACAAATGAAGGCGGTACAGTGGAACACCATGGTGACCTTCTCGACCAAGACCGTAGGTTCACCTACCTTTGTGCCCGAAACACGATCCTTGAATAATCACAATAAACTACAAGAAGAAGATGTTAGCGACTCCAAAAAATTGGAATTTCATCTTAAAAGAATAGGAGAATTTCTACCTTGTGTGCAAAAAACTGGAAATTCAAATAGTATTCTTCCCATTTAGTAAGACCTACTGCTAGTTGATTCATAGTGGTTTAAATTTGAAAGTGGCCACCAATTTTGCATTGAATGCATTGAAAACGATGCATCCCGAGCATTAGGTGATAGTCACCGCTACCATAGCACCAGTGCTTGCTGTGGATGATCTGGTTCCACGACTGCGGTCACAAGTCAGATACTTCCTCAGCGGGATTATTGTTATTTCATTCATTATTAAGATTATATGCCTATATAAGTCGGAGAAACAACGGGGTTTAACAAAATGCATGAAATTCTCCAAATAAGTAAGCTGCTGGCACCAAGTGCTAGTAGGGAATTCTAGCCACCAGTCACAGCACACATGTTATACATCAAAAGAAGTGTAGCATACAAAAGGGACCCTGATCTTATTCCTGCACGATTTTCCTTCCCTCAGAAGAGTACAGATCCCTCAATGTTCAAGAAAGAAATCCACGGTCATCATAAAAAAATAGGACCTCAAAGTTCACGAAAGAAACCTACGGTAATCATGAAAAGCAGGGCATCCTGTTTCACCGATTGGCTTTTGAAGAATCGTGTCGATGCTAAGAAAACTGTGAGTTTAAACCTTACCAAGAGACGCCTGTCTTTAAAAACTCATCCTGAGCCTGCTCCAGTTGCAGGAATTTAACAGAAGTGAGGCGCTTTCAAAAGTGCGAAGAACCAATAGATTTCAACGCTAACACGACTACATTAGTGCCATAGGAGTCACTCGGTATGCATTGTACCCAATGCATTGAATTGAAAAAGAACCCACTAATTCTCATCTATAAAATGTTCTCTTGTTTTACGACCATAAAATCCTAATTTTTTAGAGCCAATAATGCATATCTCCACCACTTTTTTTGCTTCAAAGCTCACGTTTCAAACACGAGAGCAAATAAATAGGTGCAACTGCTGCTCTTTCGTCACAAATTCTAAAAACCAAAGCCCCGTTATCAGTATTCCAAAGTTTTTAGTTCTAAACAAATTTAAAATTGGAAAAATACTAAAAACTACATATGAGATAAATTGAACAAAGCGGTTCCAAAGATCTATCAAGTTGTGAACTCCTGAAATACCCAAGCGATCGAAAAATTGTCACCAGTTCCCTAAAAATCGCCTTTGGCGCGAAAGGGTTATAGAGACCCGAGTAGCACTTCTGGGTGATGTTTTTAGTTCGAGCTACTTGACAGAAACGCCCAGTCGCCTTTACGCGATTTCAGCTGAAGCGAATGTGCTTGGGACAGTCAAGACAAGTTTCTTCATGAATGCCGTATAGCAATTTCGTAATCATAAGTTCGCCATTCTACAACGATATCGCAATCAACGTAATGAGAGAGAAAGGCGACACAATTTCGTCAAAATTATTTAGCACCACTCTCAAGAACGTCATGTGGAAAGTGGAATGCGACAACATCGAAGTGAAAGTCGACAGTTGACGGCGACAGCATCCGTGCTTCTCTGATGACGTCGTCTCTGGAACATCAAGGGCCGGCTTTGTAGGCAGAATGATGGCCGCTATCGAAAGAATCTATGAAAAGTCGATCATCGGGTGAACCTACAGAAAATAATGTCCACGGGAAACGAAACTGTAACTGACTTGATTCTTGACGTTCTCAATCAAGACGTTAGTGTGGACCGTGTCCCACTAGGCATCGTAGTCTACGTTCACTTACAAATTCCAGTTTCTCAGTGTTATACATTCTCCACTCTCCTCCAAGATGAAGCCAGATTCTCCACCTAAAGATTATGTTCTCATCGTTGTAGATGGTCGACAGCGTTAAATACTGGTAGTTTCTTTCATCCGGCACCGCTAACATAGCCTTATGACTATCAAAACTACGACAGGTGAATGCCAATCCAAACGACTCTACATTGACCTGTCAGAAACTGCTTGACTTCGTCCTCTAGATTCTCCTTAACCTACCGCACAACCTAAATCTGTACCTTCGAACTACCAACTATTCAGATTGTGGATCACCGTTCTCTTGGAAATACATCCATTTCGAGACGAGATCGAAAACAGACCAGCTAAGATCGGAGAAGTGTACCTTCTACATTTCTACAACCATTAGACCAAAGAGGCCAACTTTCCTCGTTTCCTATGAACCAGATATGCCGTATGGGCTCCGCCTGCACGAAAGTGATGAAGAACCTTACACTTGGCAGTGTAACCAGAAGACCCCAAATCACCTTTCAATATGTAACGGTTCATAAATTCCGATGAAAACGACCTAGTTTGCCCTAAAAATCAATGTTTTCTTAGAACCTCAGGAAGGACGAAAACTTGTTCGCTATGCAAAATACAAAAAGTGTGAACGCATAGCTAATAAAGCTTGACCACGCGAACATCCTAGTAGGTTTCCATCATCCGTGCTGCACAGCGAAGCCTACACTTTTCAAACTTCGTCACGATTGACCACAATCCAGCAGAAGTCCAACGTCAAGCACGAGCACGTAAAATCCACAATAGCGGGGTTTTGCGAGGCTCATATGCGGCCACCAGTGGTGTGTAAAATCAGAAAAACCTTTGCACTCTTCTGTGAATCATTGATGCCACTGATAACACTCGCAGAGCCAACATAGCTGATCACCTGGCCTGATACTCCAAGGCCTGAAGGCGATATCAGCTGCTCAGGTGTGCGAAAAGGTGAGGTCAAGTGTGTATGATCAGCGCTACTCGTTCTCTTTGTGCGATCATTCCGTCCCGCAAGAACCGACGAGCGCTGATCACCGATACAGAGCGTATTCCTTCTGATTGGAATGCATTCGGGTGATCCGATGCAACTAACGCAGAACGCTCAACACGCAGTACCGAACACGCAGATTTAAGGTCCAAACGGCAGAAATCACCATCCCGACGTTGGACCAACTACTGGCAGCATTATCGAACGATGGTGAACCGAGTGGTGTATTTGACGTACGGTCCATGGTGAGCGCGTAAGGTGATCGGCTGCGACCGGGCACCAGTCGCGGTGATTACGGACAACCGCGATTATCTGATCGATCCGCGGGGGCGGCAACAGCACGTTCGCAGCGGCGGCAGAGACGCAGAGGATGAGCGGCGGCGGCGAACGGGCGCGCGCCGGGAGGTGCGCGATCGTGGTCGCCGCTCGCAGTGGCGCTCGGAGCGGCTCGGATTCGCGGACTACGTCGGGATGGTGATGCGCGACGACGACGACGTCGACCTGGAGGACGCCACGCGTCATGCCAGCATCCTCCAGAACAAGCAGCTCATCACCAACAACGTCATCAACAAGCGCAAGGTGCGTTCGTTCTCGTTCTCGCGTTCTCTCCCGCTACACTTCCTCCAGTCATCATCTCTCCGAGTTCCATTTCCATGCATTTCCTTCGTTTCTGATTTCTGTGCAGCTTATTCCACTTCGTTTTGTGATCTTTATGGTTACGGTTTGTAGTGATCTTTTTTTCATGCAAGGAAATAATAACGTTTTACAGAAGTCATTTATTTTCTTCGGAATTTTAGTTTCCTCGCTCCGGCTTCTTCCGTCTCATAGCTGAGTACAAATACCCTATTGACGTGTTCAATTGAAGAAGCGCTCTCTTTGCGTCAGAACTTTTGCGTCTTTCATGTCTTTTTAGATGTCCTGCTGTTGCAAGAGCTGTTTGTAGCAGTCGTGCTATGTAGTACTATTTGGACGTAGGTGGTTCATTAACGGTGGCCATAGTCCAGTTCTTTCATCCCTAACGACTCTAGTGCCCTCCAGATGTGCAGTAATAGGTGTCGTATGTTTCGTCTACGCGGTTCTTGAACTGTTTTTCTTTTTTCTTTCTTTCATATACCTGATTTATTCTTTTTTCTTCCGTTCTGTTTAGATTCAACGTTAATCAGCTGTGGTTGTCAATTTACAAAAGGTTTTTTTTGTTTTTCCTTGATCGCCTAGGTTTGTTTTTGTTTATTTCGAATCATCTGCGCTGTATTGAGGCGGATGTATGAGATCCTTAGGAAGAAATTGAATGGAAGGTTGGGGATTTTCTTTTTGTTCAATCGATTCTGTGACTTAAATACCGTAATCAGTGGAGGTGTCATGTTTAAGAAATCCTTGTGAATGCTCGAAATGTGGTTATTCGCTCGTGATGTTTTCAAACACGAATTTGATATTAGATTTGTGTCATCTCTTTTCGCACGCCGGTGATGTGAGGAATCGTCGCGAGCACGGAACGTGAGTCATCCGTCCGTCGGCGGTTGCTGAACGCGGCGCTGAGCTGCTGAAAACATCGCTCGGAGTTCTCACTAGGTTAATGAAGCGCAATCCCTTAAAGAGACTATAGCTGTCGGTGTTGATCACCCCTTATGCTGTCGACTTCGTTAAGCATCGTAGAGGTTATCTGTTGAATGCATCTGGTGGTATACAGATGTATCCAAACAGTAATGATATCCTCCTCGACAAATCGGATACCAATATGCCGATCCCTTAGTATTAGGAGACTTGGTGAAGTTGGGGCCCGGAACGCGATATTGAGTCGGAGACGGTGTATGTGTTGAAGAGCCTAACTAACTACTGAACGGAACGTAGAAGCGGTTATGTTTCCTAAGCGAACCGTATCTCAAGTGTTCGAACTGTCTCCGTACATTTTGCCTTTATGAAAATCCGACTCAGTCATAGGTGGGCACGTGAGGAAGCACCATGTTCAGGTTATCGATTGAGAATCTGCATGATCGGTTTTCCTTCCTAACGAATTTCTCTAGTAACATTTCTATGTAACACATCCATTCGCCCTCAGTTAAGGTGTTATCATTTGTGTACCGTTAAGCCCATAAAAAATCCCATACGTTGTGGTAGTCATGAGGTAAGCACTTGTGCCAGTGTTTTCTCTCATAAAAACACCTTACATAACACACTCATGGCAACGCACATTCGGTTGACTGCATGGCGGACGTCCAGCATTGACTTCAATGCATTTAATGCTTTTTTTTTAGAGATATTACTTATGTACAGTTTTTTTGCACTAAATCACGAAACCGTTCTGTACACTTTGTAAGTGGTAGAGTACTTTAAGAGGCGAGTTAGTCGTTCCAAGGCAATAGAAACAGAAATTCTCGAAGCGTTCTAAATTACATCCACTATATTTTGCTTTGAATTTCTAAGAGGGCTGACAAAATATAATTTGTTGGTGTATTTCATCTGGAATATACCTGCTTTACCTGGAATCCACACTTGCAGTCTACAATTTTCCACATGCAGTACGCACTTTTGACGTCCCATTTGCATTTTTATGGCCCTTGTTCAAGCATTCTCAGTTGTGTTTCCCACAGTGGCTCACCTGCTTAACATATCTTCGCTTGTGTATACTGGCAATTGTGCTTAGCAGTATATTTTGACTGACATAACTTTGAATTATAGCTAGCATTGTGTGCGAAGCAAAGCAAATCAAGACTGAAACTGCAACAGTCACACAACTAGAGCAGTGTAACAAGACTCATCTGAAGGCAGAGAACCATGATTCTTATGATTTTCGTCATTCTTCGGTGGCCATTACTAGTACTTCATGTCTGTGCGTTGGTCTTACTTATAATAAAGTCAGAAATATGAGCCACGATTGGTTCATAACAATGCATTGGTTTTGTGCAATAAAGCGAGAACTGTTGACCCATATTAGACCGACAGCACTTGCAATTTCACCATTCAATTTCACCATCCATTTTTTCTGCATCCACATCTTTTTCATTACTTTCATCCTCTTTCTCCGTTAATTATTTTCAGACTTATTCGAAAGATCGACTTTTGATTAATTTCTGAATCCGTCCTTTCTATTTATTTTTGGATTTCTAAAGTTTATCGAGAATGTCTTAAGTGTTTTGCGCGTTGATGCTTTTGATTTCTGAGCCACTATCGTGACTCCCACTTCAAAACCATTACCGCTGTGTGTTTGCGTCCTGTGTGCACGTAGAGGTGTACTTTCTCGAGTTTCCAATTTCCAGTCTAAGTGTTCTTCTGTGCGAACACCAAATGCGCTACCTACCGTTTCGCCAATGTGTTCAATACCACATGTCTTACAGAAGGTTAGCTACATTATGCTCGTGCGACCACCTCTGCCCTAAAGACTGTTTATGCAATCTTCTCTTTTACATGGACGGTCGTATAGGTAGGTGGTTCCAAGCTATTTGACGATGTTTAGTGCTTGGCGGAAGATTATGACCACGCGGCTCACTAGATCATTGTTTTAGGCATCTTTTAATAGCGATGTTTATTTCTTTCACAATGAAAGGTAGCTTGAAAGGGATCTTATTTGGGTTTTGAACAGTACTTTTTAGAGCCTAACTCTCTTTTTAGACCTAACCTTAGTGACTGCTGTTTCATAACCATTTGAGATGGCTATTTGTCGTGCCAAGTAAGGTGGTTCCTTTCCTTCTTCAGTAATCGCTCTTGTAGCTGTTTAGCACATGTTTCGGACAAGTGCTTTTTCAGGTGTGAAGGACGAGAAATGAGGTAATGGACTAGTGTACTTTTATTGTTTGGCTTTCGATACCCCTTTGTGGTGTAGCAACTTCCATGATGGTGTATTTGAATGTTCAAAAGTGGAAGCCAATTCTCTTTAGGTTTGCGCGTCTGTCATGTGTAGAACATAAAAGAAGCTTCTGGGTATCGACGACAGTCTAAAACTCGGCGATCGAGAACGGGAGTAAGACGTAGACGCTTTAGACACTTTAGACGTAAGAGTAATGGCAAGGCTTGATGTCAGTCGTCTTCCCGTTCTCAGCGATGCTGTATGAGGTCGAATCCATGGCGCTTCCCTCAGGGACTAGTCAACACCGAGCGCTTTATCGCTTTAACCTGCCATGAAAAAAATAATAGGCAGCAGATAAGAAGTTGTACGTGGCTAAGACATTTGTAATCGTATTCATTTGTCACTCTTTGTATTTGTGGAGCACAAGAGGCTACGTTCTTTACATTCTATCTTCAGGTCTCTCTTATGCAATCGCTACGAAAAGTAAGTCTGAAACGGCGTTCGGTGTGTCTTCGACTGAAATGATTCGGGCTGGAAAAATTCAGTTTTTGATCAGTAATTAATTGTTCTTGACTTCGAGATCGTCACGATTATTCATATTTCTAGTAGAGTTTGGCTGGATGTAAAGTTTATGTAGAAATGCACTATTTTAGCTGGTTTGTCCCATAAAAACCTCCCAGTGGTTTACTGACTCATCGTGGCAGGGGAGTGTTTCTGGATGGGCTGCGACGTCCAACAGGGGAGTTTCATCTCCCAGCAGGGCCTCCCAAGCTAAGAAAGAGTCTAGCGTTTCCATCAAGAAATCCAGCTAAGAGTAAACCAGTTCACCAGGATTCACTACCGTCCTTGTATCAAACTAGTCGCATGGCGGCAAATCTCCCTCTGATCCACGAGGTGGCTACTACCTGTGGTGGTAAAGACTTGCAAACTTTGACTGGACTGACATCGGGACACCAGGGAACCAAAATAGCTAAGCTAGCAAAACTCTGAAAAAGTGAAAATTATGCTGGGAGCAGCACAACCGGCGACGGTGGGCCATCCAAGTATCCAACTAAGTGTCTACTGTAAAACCAACTCCAAAATGCTGGTGATACTATGATTAGATGGTGGACAATACGTGGAAGAATACGTTGATCAAAACACAATAAACACTTCCCCATAGTTTACTTAAGAGTTGCATGTGCAAGGAAACTTCGTGGGTGTTGCTACATGGTGCCAGATCATTATGGTTCGTTGCGTTCCTGTGCTCCGATCAAAACATCGGCGATTGATTAACATGGCTTGCGGTCACCCATGATTCATAGTGCGCTTTCTTCTGCAGAGCCATTAGGTGATTGTTTCGATGTGTTTGACGTCCGTTGTCATGTGCAGTTATTGCAGTGGAGCAGCTCTTTCGGAGCACTTTAGCGTTTACTGTGGCATGCAGTGTATTTTAAGCGCTTCTGTCAACAGAGTTATGTGAAGTATTTAAGTTTACTGGCCTGCATTACTTCAACATTGCTAAAAATTTAGTTCTGAATACTTTCAGTTATCACATAATTTGGAATGCATTTTCTTCTTCCACATGACCAGTGTTCAATTTTACTTTGCTCTCAGATTTTATCACACAGTACTCTTCATGATTCCCGCGCTTTAAGCCGCTTTTCGCAATCAGCTGTTGGTGTTAGTATTTCAGGAGCAGTTACAACGTTGGGAAAGCAGCGAAATGAACGGGGAGCCAACCCATCGACGAAAGAAAGCACGTGTACAGTTTCAGGTTCATTGTATATGCATTTGTTACCGTTTTTCTTTTTCTCTCATGTCAAAGTTTGCTGTACTGAATTAAATGTCAGTTTGTAACTTCTTCATTCACACTTTCACAGTAGTCACTTTTGATCTTAACGAGGGTTTCTAGACTGTTTTTTTTTCTTAATTGGATACATGGATGGCCCATCTTCACTGGGTATGCTGGCCCCAGCATAATTTCCATTTTCTCGGAATTTACCCATCATGCTTCCCTGGTGTTCTGCGATCAGCCTAGCCAAGGTCTGCCCCAGGTCGTCACCACCATTGGCAGTCGCAGCCCTTGTGAATCAGAAGGGAATTTGCTACCATACGACTAGTTTGATATCAGGACGGTGGTGAATCCTGGTGTTGGTTCACTATTAGCTAAATTTCCTGATGGAAAAACCGGACTCCTCAGCTTGGGAGACCCTGCTGAAAGACTGAATCCTCCCACTGTACATGGCAGCCCTCCATTCAGGAACTACTTCATCCAGGCACGATGAGGCGGTAAACCATTGGGAGGATTTTTTTTAGGAACAATAAACGTTCCAACCATTTATATATCTATACCACTCCAGTCGTATTTATGAAATTAAGATGAATCCTTAGTGAGAAAGTGAGAATGCATTCGTGTTCTAGTGTTTTTCGCGTGATTTCATTGTCTGTAAATTCTTGTTTATTAAACTGAAAAAGATTTTCATTTCAAATAATACTGAACTTAATCCTATGTGCTTTAAACACCATACTCATGAGGAATTCAATGGTATCGGTTAATCTATTCTACTTAGAAAACATAATCCCCTCCAATGATAATCCTGATAATACTTTGTCTGTCTGTGTGAAGATGGCTAGCCAATGAAGAGATTTCTCTATCTGAAGATGCTGCAATTAGTACAAGTTTTAATGGCTGTTACAAATTTTCATCACACAGGGATCTGTATCACACGCAGCGACCTACTGAAACATGTGGACTTTGATTTCTCTTATGTGTCAACATTTTAAGGTCTAAATTTTCGGGAAAAGATTCGAAATAACACACTTCTTCATCCTTCCTTTTTTTTCAAACAAAAGCTTAAAATGCATGTTCATGTGTTTTAAGGATAGCGACATCTTCCTCAGTGCTTGTATGTCGGGTGATGAGGAAGAGGTGGAGGAACTACTAGCGAAGGGTGCAGATATAAATACCGCCACCGTCGATGGGTTGACTGCTCTGCATCAAGTGAGTATTTTTTGGAGGTTGAGATCACCCTTCTTCTTTTACACAACACATTGTCTTTAGGCTTTCTTTGTTGCCTATTTTTCCTGATTTTTAAATGTATTGTGTTTAGTCAGTTATCGATAGTAAGCCGGACATGGTGCGGTTTCTCTGTGAAAAAGGTGCTGATGTGAATGCTCAGGATAACGAAGGCTGGACTCCCTTGCATGCTGCAGCGTGCTGTGGAAACCTTGCTATAGTAAAGTACTTATGCGAAAACGGTGCTAAACTTAATATTATCAACAGGCGAGATGTTTCTTTCGTACACTTCACTTATCCTTACTGGATGTTTTTAAATTGGTAATACTGCTTCAGCGATAAAGAATTAGCGTTGGACTTGGCCGACGACGAATCGTGTAGAGAATTCCTCGAGCATGATTACCGTAACCAAGGAGTGGTTCCTGAACAATGTCGCGATCAGGAGTTAGCTGTAATGATGAAAGATGCACAGCATTGGTTGCGCGACGGAGAATATCGGTTTGGAAACGTTGTCGCTGTTCGCTTCCTCTATAGTACGTCTAGAATGTGTCGGAATTTAGGGATCAGCCTCATCGACGTACAGGGGCAACCGCTATGCATGTCGCCGCTGCTAAAGGTTATACACAACTTCTTGAAATTCTCATCAAGGCTGGCGGGAATATACGTGCACGTGACAAGGTGCACTCATTGTTTCAACGTTTACTCTCTAGCGTCAATGGTTTACCCTGAACGTAACAGTGGCTTTTTGTGAATAACTTGAAGACATACACAGTATTTTCTTCTAGGATGGATGGACACCACTGCATGCTGCAGCGCACTGGGCAGAACGGGATTCCTGCAAAATTTTGCTGGAAAATGGTGCCAGCATTATGGATATTAATTATGCTGTAAGATTTTTATCGTTTTCGATGTGAACATCTAATTCTGCTGCCAGGTGAGTGAAGTTCATGACTCTTCGACTTTAGGGACAAAATGTGTTAGCCGTAGCTGATAAAGAAGTAGTTGAGTATTTGGAAGATTTACATCGATCAGTCGATAAGCGAAAATCACCGTCAGCTGCGCCTACCAGTGTACTACAGGTTCGTTAACTTCATTCAAATCTCCTTGTGGTGGTTGTGAAATCTTTTGTTCGCGTTTAATTTATTATGAGAATTTGATTTTTATATTTGAAATGAATGTGCTGGAATTCTTAAAATGTAATTGCTTAGCTCGTTTTGATATATTTGCTGATTGATTTTTGAGTACTTGTACCATTATAGGAAAAAAATACGAAACTATCACACGAAGAACACACTCTTTCTACTGAACATAAGCAGGAATTGAAACACAAGGACCAAATTAGGTAGGTGTTTCCTTAGCGTTTTCAGTTAATTGGCTGAATGTCGTACAAAGCAATACGTAGTTAAATTGATGTAATTTAGCGAAAATGTAATATTGCAATCATCAGTGAAGTTGAAGAAATTTGACGACAATTCTCCCTCGTCACAGTCGGAATCGTCTTCGCATGATGCAGTAGGCAATGAGAGTCAGTCGTTCTCTCTGCCGTCTGCTGACGGGAGAATGTCATCGACGGAAAGGAGCGCCAGCGAACCGCCCTCTTTGTCGAAGTTTGTTTGTTTCCAATCAGTTCTTACAGTTCTCACGACTAGTTTTTTTTGTTAACTTTGTCAGCCATAAATAACTGTGATTTTTTACCATGCTGGTGCGATTTGCTTAACATTTCACTGATTTTCATTGCTCTTCTCTAAAACTTTCTTTCATCAGAGCCTAAAACTGCCTTACTGAGTTACCGCTCTTGGAAGTTACAGTAAAGCTCTGTCTATCGATCAGTCGTATAGTAAATAGTCAAAGGTGTTAATCTGGAGTGTCTCCATACTGGGAACTCAACCACTGATTCGATTTGTCCATTGTCCAACGAGCAGATATTTTTGTTTTCTGAGCTCTGATCGTACACTTTAATAAGTTCACTAATGTTTTATTTAATTCGAACCCAGAAAAATTTGATTTTTGACTTCATTCACCGAATGGCTTACACAGCCTGACTTCTCTTGCCCAGCTGTCAGCTTTTTTATGATGTGGCTGTTTAAAGTAATCATCACCACATTGCAAATTAGAATTAGAATCGATAGTACCCAAACTCACAGTGGCCGTTGGAGCCGGGGCAAGTTTGTTTAGTGTTGAGTTAGGAAACAAAAGATGAGATATGCGGTTAGGATTATGTGTGGAGGTAATGCAACTGTTATAACCAAATTCGTAGACATTTTTCCGTCTTGTCGCTGTAATAGTAAGGGTAACTTTCTTGTTTTGTAATTTTTTCAACTTTTTCCACAGCATAGCATAGCAGTAGAACTGTATGCTAGCGATGGAAATTGAGTTCAGAGGTTATCAATCTAAATTTTTTCATGGAACATGATTACAAATCTTTTCTCCATTTAAAGAGATCCGTAAGAGGACATCTAAATAATAAGGGCTAAAGGATAAGGTTCTCGGCGTTAATCAATCCCTGAGGGATGCGTCATGCATTCGACTTCATTAAACATTGTTTGGAGGCGATTGGATGCATATCTGACCTTTACAATGTACTCGCTGTGACCTACCGATGTATCGAGCCAGTGCTGCTAATCTTCTTTGTTAGTGCGGTACCAATTTACCGACCTCGGAGGGGTGGAAAGCTTGGTAGGCCAGAGGCGTACGAACCGAACATGTGTATTGCAAGGCGTCGCCGACCACTGTGCCGTACGCACCCTAAACCTAAATATGCAAAGGAATTTATGCCATTAGCATGTGCTTATCAGATGCACGAACATAAGCGAAGTTTTCTTAAATTGAAATTTCCATGAAAATGTGGGAAGTATGAAAGCGTGGATATTTAGGAGGTTTCCGTTTTAGCAATAACATTCCTCAAATGAACTCAAACTCCATAACAGAAGAAATACGAGTTATGCGTACGACTCGATGTTTTCTTTTTTTGTCTCCTTTTTATTCAGTGTATAAGAAACTTGCAGTTGCAGTTGTTTGCTGGTGATTTTGCTTCACTTTAAAAGTTAAAACTTGTAGAAAGCGACCTTTATGAAGCTGTTTTAGGGAAATCCTAGGGCTAGAACTGTAAACTAAGGTTATGGAGTTCTGTCGAGTAAGTTGAGACTGTCCCATAGCATTTAGACGTCGGCTAACCATTAAAACAGGAGACTGATGAAAAAGTTGCAGACTATGTAAAAATTTGATCAAATTGACAAACATTCAAAGTGCATAGCTTTTTTGCTATACGAGGTCGAAGAATTTAATAACCCAACCTTTATTACACGTCTCCTCGTATTGAGTTGAATGACTAGTGTTTTCAGAACAGCAGAAGAAGGCGGATCTTGCGATCGCCATCCATCCACCGTCCGTTCCACTGTTTCTGCAGATCGTTCGTTGTCACTTAGCAATCCCGTTGGTTTGCAACGTTCCAGTAATATGACCATTTCCGTGTCCGATTCTGCGAAATTGTCGGTGAGTATCTTCATAAATAATGGTACGATTTCACTGCGTGCTGAAAAGAGTTTCTTATTCTTTGTTCTAGGATGGCTCATCCAGCAGTGAGCTCAATGTGTCTGCTACAGTTCCTATACCTCCCAGGTCTTTCCAGCCGCCTAGCTCATGGATCAATCGCGGTGTTCAGCTCATTGCACGGTACGAATTAAAAACTCGTTGTGTGATGACCAACTGGTTTACCTTATTTCACTTCATAGATCCGGGAGCTCATCGACGTCATCTACAACTCGCTCGTCGAACACACTATCTTCCGACTCTTCGCAGATATCATTAGGAATGCCTTCAGGGAATAGTGGTCCTTTCTCTGGCACATCATCTTCTTCCATTCTGTCGAAGCCACCGTATGTTTGTTTTACTGTTTCGTCTTCTCATTTTGTCTGTCGTCTTTGTGTCGCTTTGTTCTTTGACTATGTAATTCACCGTTATTACAACATCATGGCTTACGTAGCGCGAAAACTTTATTTTTCATTTCACGTCGAAGTTTCACATCAAATCTATTGTTCGTAGGCGTTCCAGTTTGGCTCCTGTGACGAAGCAACAGTCGAAATCAACGCCAATCGGTTTGCCGTGGGCTTCTCTTTCTCGTGTATTTAGCACGCCTGTGAAATCTAGCAAATTACAACCATCCTCTATTGGAGATTCTTGTTCGATTTTCATCCCGAGTAAAGATTCTGCGTTTCATCCGCCTGTCAACCATACTGATACTACTACAGATTTATGCGATGATTCACCTTCTGATTATCATTCGCATCATCTCAGTGCAAACGAATTAAGGTCACTTTCACCAAATTGCTAAGAAATTCTCTGGTAGTGTTTGCTCATTGTCCTACTAACCAGTCCCTTACAAACATGTGTTTGTTTTCCTGTTCTACGCTTCTCATCTCATAGTGTTCACCCTTCAATTGCTGCTCTGCTCTGTTTCCTTTTTCCCAGCTTACCAGTGTTCCTGAACATCTCTTATGTTAAGCTTGTTATCTGTATATTTAGACCGTGGCACTCGAACGCAGTCACAGAGAGTGAGGCTGAGAGAAGAAATACTGCCAGGATACAACGACAGCATCGACGATCTACACAGGGAGTTACTAAGGTGTGGAAAAGTACAGCCAATTACTCTGTTGTTAACATTGAACCGTTATTTTAGGAACATTTGGAGGAAGCCAGTCGAATTGCTGAGAGCACCCGGCGACGAGCAGTAGCTGCGACTACTCAGAATTCCTCATTGAATGCTTCTAGTGTTTCTCCGCCAAAAGAAACGGTATTTGTGAAACCTTTATATCCTCGAATATTATTGTAGCCCATTTTTTAGCGTTTAGTTGATTTCAGTGAAACTTTCGAATCTACGTTTTTTGTCATCCACGTGGCACTCAGTAATGAGTTTTCTCATATGGTTTCAGGCTGTTGTCCGACTTGCATCGGAAGAGCGAGACTCATATTCTGCTTCTTCCGATAGAAGTTCAGGAAGTACAGAAAAGAGTTCACTGGATGTTTCCGTCGTGGGTCGCACAAGCAGTGCATCTCATGGTGCGAATTTTCGTTTCTTTTCATATATTCTGCAGTTTTATTCAATGAATACAATGTTCCATCATGTGAATCTGAGTCACCATTTTGCGTCAGTTCAGTGTCAAAATTTTCAACAATGCAATGCATTTTGGCAGTATCCAAAAAGGTTAGAAATTGGAAAGTTTTCTCCGTCCGTAGTGTTATGAATTTTTAAAAAATTATCAACTACTTTAAGTGTTAAAAAACGATAAAGTTTTCGGCGTTGATTAATCCCTTAGGGATGCGCCATGCATTCGACTTCATTAGGCATCGTTAGCGGTGGTTGAATGTATATCTGTCCTATAGACCGATTTATCGAGCCAGTGCTGCTATCCTCCCAGACAAGTTTGGTACCAATTTTCCGACCCGGAGGGATAGAACGCTTGGTGAACCATGGGCTCGGGAATCGATCCCATGTGTATTGGAGGGCGCCTCCGACCACAGCGCTGCCGCTGCACGCACCCCTTAAGTGTAATGCAAAGTTCCTTAACTGTATTTTCAGTGCTTTATTTGATGTTTAGTTTATAACGTTTGAAATCGCGACACAGAAAAGAGCTATTCTATTCTTAAGTTAGCAACTGTGCTTGTTAGTGCTGATCCATAATTCTGATGTTCTGGCAAGTTAATAACTGGCGTAAGTAGTCCAAGTGTTGTCTTCATATCAGTTAGTTAGTCGTGGTCAAGTACTTTTTCTACACGAAAAGTCGTCGTGAAAAGGATTAGTTTTCTAGTCGCGGAAACTATGAAACTACTGGTCATTTGGCCTCTTCCGCAACGTTCGTCACTTCTTCCCATCTTCTGCATGAGATCGGTATTTAGAGCCTTCTGCTGTGGCTTGTTATGGCGCTTCTGGTCAGAGTTCCCCAGTGTCGACCGCTGTGGTTAACCCTACTCAGTCGCCTACCCTGACGTCAAATCAAACAAATGTAGCTGTGAGAAGGAAGAGTCAGGTCAGTATTTATCATAATTGCTTTTTTTGCACCTTAAATTTTGCTGTGGCATTATATATATATATATATATATATATATATATGTAGACGTTTCCATTATATATATATATATGTAGACGTTTCCATCCAGTTTATTTCGTTGATTCTGTTTTTCAGGGTTTGTCAGTATCTCGTTCAAATCGGCGCAGTACTGGTCCAGTTCTGCCTGAGGATATCCATGCGGCTGTTTCTGTCCGACAAACCAACGACGGCGTTGCTAGTACAAATATATCTTCTCATCCTATGTCATCCGAACCGGGAATAACAAGTGCTCGATCTTCTGC